TTTTTCTCTGCCCTTTCTCTTTATTCATCGTTTTGCTCCGATCTCTCGTCCCCGCTCCTCTTTCAGCGCGTTATAATCGGCCTTCCAGACAAGACGAGACAAGCCGCGAGACACGACTCGTTATACTTACACACTTTCAGTCTTGAATTCTTTCGCGTGCCTTGCCTTTCCATCACGATCACGAGAGACTGCGTTGAACTTGCATCAGCAACCTGCCGGTCCGCGGATGTCGATGTACGTATATACACACACGATCCACGTCCACCTGCAGTTACCTAACGGTCGCGCCTGCTTTTTCTTACTTCCACGACTCTTTCGCGTCTTCCTTCCTTGATCTTTTATGAAACCTCCGTTCACCGATACGGTACTCAAATCTGAATCATTTTCCATACAATCTTCTTAAAGATCTAATCCATCAAATACTGTCAAACGCTTGATTCATTTTAGTCTTCTCGTTAGTTCAGGCGACGAACGTTCGATGCGTCATAAACGAGCTTGGAAACGGCGCGACGACGGCACTGCCAGTAGATATCGAAAATCGAAAGCAACTAAACACGGAGGAAATTGAAGAGGAACGCGGAGTCCCGCGTGACCGAGACTCGTCTACATTTTTTTCTTCGTCCCATTCTTCTTCTTGGTCCCATCCACTGCATCGTATCCCCCTGCGGTTCGTTCCTACCGATGCTAAAGTCGAGTTGCTTCTTCGTTGTCGATCCACTCATTTTTCTTCTCTTTTTCCACCGACTGTCGAATCGTCTCTTCACCGTTTCGCCATTCTTCTTTACTCTTCATGTCCTTCGCCGATTTCCTTTTGCTTCGTTTTAGCTGCTTCAAGTCCCCAGTCCCAAACGGTAGCCCGAGTCATAGTGGCCACCGAAAAACAACGATCGTCCCTCGTCTCTTAAATTTTATTCTTCTCAGAGTCACAGATACGAGATATTCATTTAAATGAGTCTCTCTCTTCTCTAATATGAATATTCCACATTTCATGAACCCATTTTTTATCGGCGTATACGATTTTCTCAAAGTAATTAGTGCGCGAATGAATGTTTAATATTGACTTTAGTCACATCGTATAAAATTAAAGATGCAACATTTTTTTTTAAGAAGATCAGTAAACGGCGTGGACATTGAGGATAACGGGGATATTGCTTCGCTCGAACGTCTCTCTAATTTCATGGAAGATGCCCGTTCGTAAACTTGCCAAAGAGCCGAAGTTGGCCTTCCTATCTCTCGAGGATGATAACGATCCTTGGAAGTTTCTAACGCGATTTACCCCCGTTCTGTTCCGCATTTTTACCTACCCTTTTATGGAAGAGAATTAAGCGCGCGAGATTAAGAGGGACCTGAAAAATATTCCAAAGGAAGAAGAACTGTCCCGGTTTTTAAGCGTCCCGTGAAAGGAACGAGGACGCGGCAATAGAAGAATCTCGACAAACGGTTCAAAACGAATTTAAAGATAACAATGAAATCGCTGAAAACGTGGGGCAATCATAAACTGAAGACAAAGAATGTTGGGTCATAGAGTAATAGCATAATAAGTCTTATTATAATAATACAATAAGTTTTATTATAGGCCAGTTATCATATCTTTTACATTAACATTATTGTCAATGTGCGATGTTTCGCTGACTTGATCGATGCTAAACAGGGAAGTTATTTAAATACGAAATGATTACAATAGCAGTCAACTTCTTTCTTCGAAAAAAAATTCTACGTTTCTCCTCGGAGAACCTGTATCTCGATTTACAATAGCATTACGAAGTTTCGCAGCGCATGGTGTACTTAAATATTCGTATCGACGAAATAAAACTCCGAGTATAATTGAAGGTAGAGTGTTCGGAATAAGTCGCGAGGCACCGAACAACGCGAAACTTTCAAATTATATTTCCAGTTTAGAATTCCAGCCAGGGGACTGAGAATCGAACGAGATACCTATCAAAAGTTTGACGTGCCGATCAAAAGTATGTCATTACTGTCAACTTACAACTATTTTAAGAAACAACTTTAAGAATATCATTATCTTTCGAAACTCCTGAGTTGTACAAGAGAAGATCAAAGCCTTCTGTCACTCTTTGCAAAATTACCTCATTTGCAGGATCAAATTTCATAAGATCTACCAATTGAAATAAACAATTAAAGACAGTGCTTATTTATTCGTGTATTTTATCAAACCAAAATATTCCAAATCTCTATAGCAAAATTAAGAAACAAAGAGTCACGACACTTTATATTACTGTGTATAAATACTTTGGTGATAGCCAGAAAAATGATAGCTAATGACATGAACGACTTGATATCGATCTAGGGCAAGATTTGGCAAGGGAAGCAAAGATGACAAGGCATGAGGTAAGATTTTGTATCGGTACAGTCAGGAGGCTTGAAAAAGTTTTGGGTAGCAATGTACAATCAAGAGAGAAAACGATTCCGAAGCATTCGCGAGAAATTTACCGCACGGCATCCCGTCGTGGAGGAAACAATAGCGCAGGGGGTGGGGGAATGGTGAAACGGCTGCGTCGAGAGTATCGAATATCGATGAGGCAACCTTCTCGGCTCCTTCGAAGAGCGGAGGAAAAAGCTCGGAAGAAACAGGCAGAACGACTGTCCTCGAAAGCTGCGGCTCTGACGACGTCGCTAGTAGATGATTGACAAGAGAAACCGAAATGTCTTTTTATTCTTAGAGAGCAGCCGCAGCAACTTTTTATCCGGCTAAGAGCCACAGTTGCCGAAAGTACCGTCTACTCGGTTGTTATCTTCAGTTTCATCGGCTTCCAACAGATCGTAATCCTTAAACGTCGAAGTAACAGTGCACGGTGCGTTCCTCGTTTATCAGAGATCATAGAAAAATAATTCTCAATATTCATTCCACTTTCGATGCCATGATTTTCATTTAAAAAAATATAAACTATTAAATAAGTTATATTTATGAGACTTTTTTTTATGGAGAATAAGCACTTGGAAAGTGTCCAGATTGGAGAGAAACGACTCTTGCTCGTTCATAATGATATGCAACGGTAATACGATGCGAGAATACGCTACAAGTGGATGCGCGCCTTAATGCGCGATCAGCTGAATTTCGAGAAAAGAAACGACCTCGGGAATCGTTTGCACCGTTACCAGGTTGCCCGAGTCACGATGACATCAAAACATTGATCTCGCGAAATACATAATTTGCACGGTTCCGCTGACCCCCAGCAGATACAAACCCCAGAATCGTCTGACCAATATCAGTAAAATCTTCGTGTCTCGTTATAGTGCGTTCAGGCCGACCGAACGAATGCTCCCCGCATCGATAGAATTCATGCTTGATTCCCCTCCGGTAATTGACAATTGGTGGAAGAATGTTCGCATTGCTTGAAGAATGAGTATTCGTTCCGGATCTGAACTGAATGCACCATTAGTACGCGATTCATCTACTGATTAAGTTCCACGACTGAATTCGTAGATAATTCAACCGTCGAATCCCCTCAAATTGATTGTCATAGTTATGTGGCTTAGGAATTCCTCCCCATGAAATCAATTCTGAGATACCAGTAATTTGCATGTTACACGTATTTCTTGAAACGTTTCTTTACAATTAAAATGCCGTTCAATAAATGCTATCAAGGGAAAAACCACAACCGAGCACATTAAGACCTGCGACACGTCATCAGGAAGAAATTATAAAAATGTGTGGCTGTACATGTTATTTCGCAATGTTAAATGCTAAATACATACGTACGTTGTGACATAGCAACGGGTGGGCGGAGGAAGGGTTAACTGCTTTCTCGATGGAACGCGGAGACCGCTCCGCTAAGGACGAAAGAATTCGCGGAAACGCGTTAAAACTCCGGGGAGAGAGAGAGAAAAAAGGGGGAGAGTAGAGAAACGAACGTTGAGTAAAATAAACGAGGTGAAAAACCAAAGGACCGACGCGACGTTTCCTAAATGAATTTTCCCCGGGTCGCGACCCGAGAAATACTTAACGGCTGCTTTCCTTGTCGATCGTTTCCGGTAGTCCCTCGACAATTTCCTATAGTTCCGCGCGATGAATATCGATTAACAGATAAAGGGAAAACGCGGCCGCCTATTTCATTTTCGCTTTTATACGATTCTCGCGAGCTGCAAAAACTTGACTTTCGTGCACCGCGGGCTAAAAATATGCAAACTGTTCTCCAACTGTTTTTTATCCGTTTCCCATTGTTTCACTTTTCGCGTTTCTCTCATGGTGTGTTTATCGATCGCGTTATCGTTCTCGCCTTGCCTGGAACGCGTTTTTCACAGACAACCAGCAAAACGAGCTTGTTCAATTGCAACCTCGTACGATCAGATCTTTAGAGAAAAAAGTATTACAAAAACGTGACTGATTGTGGATCACATTTTTAAGCCGTTCGAATTTGCAATATAATGAGAATCTCTGTTCAATAAACCGATTCTCTAGTACTATGGCGCAGCGATTCGATAGGAAATACAGATTGTAACGGGAAAACGAGTAGTTAATCTTTAATGGACTGCCTAATGTTCCATGTTGAACAAAAACATACTAAAATACAGATGTAGAAGAATAGAGGAAGATTATGCAAAAAATCTATTCCCAATAAAAAATCCGTATAAAGAAACAATCCCTGATAAAGAAACATATAAAGAAACAAACCCTGATAGCACACTTTATGTGGTATTACCAATTCTTTGAAGTAACAAGCAGTAGACTAAAACGAATAGTTAAAATATGGTAGAATTTCGCGGATTTCGATATGATAAAAATAGTAACAAAATACATAAAGCAGAGGGTTGGAAGCGTATTGTAGCGAAGAATATTGGGAAGGAGGATAACAGCGTGGCGGCGTGGACCGCGAATGCGTGAAAATAATCTTTATCCTTTCGGCGCAGGGATCCGGTTCGGAAGCGGAACCGGAATCCTGAAACGGAGAAGGGGATGAGAACGCTGGTGGCGGAGGGGTAGGAGGACGGGAATGGGGATGCGCGCATGTACGCGACAGGGGAGCGGAATAAACTCCGGTCTTGTGGACGCGCTCACATCGCGGCGCACGGTCCACCCGATAGCCACGTTCTCCGCTCCGCGTCACCTCTCCCTCAGGATTCCAGCCGTCCGCCCGCTCGTTTTCTCCTTTCCGCCGAGTTTCCCACCTTTTTTTTTACCCAACGTTCCCCGGAATCGGAATGGCAGGCGGTCGCGTCCGCACGACCCCGGGATCCGTTCCGCGCGATAATCTCGCGTGAAATCGCGTCACATGTCGTTGAGATCGCGGCGCGAGTGATTATTAAGCTTGACGTCGAGAACGTCGGCCGTTTTATAATATCGACGGACACTTTTTTTTTCATCCACTGATTCTGGTGACACGGTGATACCGATCAGGATGTCGTTCTTCAGGGGGTTGTGGAAGAGCAGCTCGAAACACAAGAGTGAGTTCCTCTGCTTACGATTGTCACTCGATTACTTTTATATTTCATTCGCAAAAATTGTATTTTCCCGAATTCGTTCTATTGACTATTCGGACATAGAAACATAGAATCTTCGTTGTAGATAACATTCGTCGAATAATTTATTAAAAAATACAGGAACATCTATTATACGAGGATTGACACTGATTTTTGATAGTAAATAGCTAATAACGGTTTTATCGTTTTCCAACGTCGGCATCTTCAACATTAAATTGAACGCAGAAACGAGGCAAAGTTCACGGTTTCTGATAAGCTCCGCGTTATCGGTATTAATAGAGGAACGTTCCTGTTCATCAGACAATCTATTTCCGTAGTACGATAATTACAAATCACGCACTATCGTGTAATACGCTCTTAATGACATTTCAAATTGTTGCATTTCACGTTACTATATTCGTACACTGGAGCTCGTCGAGGGTTGTCTCCTTATTTTTGCGAACTACCCTGGTTATGTATTCAAATTCGATGCGTGTTCCCAAGACACGGTCTGCGCGCAAACTGAAAATTGTCGGGTGCTGCGAGGAGATCGCCTCGCCGAATTTGTTCGATAAACTTGATCGTCGGTTCAAACGTCGGATCGTATCTGGGAAATCGAAATCCTAGGCAGCCGGGCCAGCGCGATAATCGATGAAATTGCATTATCTCGGCCGGCGGATACGGAGGAAGCTTATTTACTGGAGAGTTATTAGTCGCTGGAAAGATTAACGGCAACACGGCGGCGTGCAGCTGGAAAATGTCGGGAAACGATAACGGAGGATAAAAACGGTGAGTAGAGGCGAGCGGAGCTGGAAGCAGCAGCCAGACCAGCAGTTAACGCGATTATTCGCAATAAGCGGCGTAATAGGGAGCCGGCGTTTAAGATTATGGTAATGCACGCCGAGTCGTGTTATAGGCGCAATGTGACCTCCTTCGGAGCACTGATTATTGATCATAAAATTTGCATAATCTCGCAACGCGAGTCGCATCTCGATGGTACCATCAAGATCCGTCGTACACGTGCGAATACAGTAGAACCGATTAGCGGAAAACTCAATTTCAGGTACATTGTGCCGCGTTAAGGATCATAAACTGTGAGCCACTTCGTTCAACCTCTGAAACGATAATATCTCTTTTATTATCATACTATAAAATTGAACACAGTTTTTCAAGATAATACAGCCAGTTCTCATGATGTGACGAGCTATAAAATTAGCTGAACGTTATTCGGGAACGAAATACAAGTATTATTTAAGTATATTACGATACTTCAAGTTCAGAGGATTGGAAAATCGATCAGAGGACAGAAATAAAATATTTTTCCTGACAGGAAACAATTATTCAATTATGCGATGTAACAGATGATGGCAGAAGGACGGACTATTTCTCGTTGCAACAAGGCGGAACTACGGCTTAAAATTCGACGGAAAGGGTTTTCGCTTTTTACCGGGTTTAACTTTCAATTTCCATACACGCGGGAAATCGAATCCTTCGCATGGAGGAATATAGGTACTGCTACCTGTATCCCAGGCGCTACGCGAAACTCATAATTTGTTTTATCGATCGGGAACCCCGGTGAATTCGTATTCGTACTTCGTATTCACGGTGTACCTAGTACCTAGACTCGAAAGGGAGGAAACGAGAGGAAAAAAGAGTTCGCGCTCGGTGTTCCGATGTAGAAAACGAGATTATTCGGGAAGAAAATGTGACTGTAGGGTTAATGATACGGAATACGAAGTCTGAATTTCGTGCAAGTGATTTTTTGTCGTCTTGTAGTCTTTTGCTTTCTGGCGACCTGGCCAAAATGTTGCCCATTAAATTAACTGATCAATTTCCCGTCCCCCTTATACTAAAAGTTCTTAATGAAAATTGTCCCAATGAATAGAAGAATCTGCAAGTGGGATTTGAATAATATTATACAGAATGAGAAGAAATAGATAAAAAGGATGTATCCTGTATAAGAGTACTATCTACAGATTCCTTAGGTTCCTTAGATTCCTTAGGAAGATTTTATATTGTATATATAAAGAGTTCGGAGTGTATATAGTGCTTGCCATTGTAGAAGGAAACCATTGTCATTGAGATTTACTCGGAAACGCAAGAAGCCCCCCCAAGATTTTGTCATTCGAATTAAAAAGGGACTGGAAAGGTTTGAGAACTAGGAACGGGAACGAGATTAATAATTTTTATTCCATCTACGGGTTTATGTAAGCCTTCATACCAAAGTAATCGCGTTTAATAATATAACGGCGTTCCTGAGTTATCGTCTCGAATGGTGTTTAACGTTGTATACATAGGTAACAAGAGTCTAGGGAAAACGAGGTTTACATTGAAGGCAAGTTCAACAACAAAATTGGTAGAAATTTCGTTAACACGAAATCATTTTACTCACAAATTATTATTACACGGGATATAAATTGTATTTCATATTGAATTACTTACAATATAAATATACATATAAAAGTGTCAATATATGTCCAGGAATATTGATATTTTTATTTGCAATATTAATTAACGGTGATATATAAAATGGAATTTCGTTTAAACTCTTGTTGATACAATTTACCGTTAGAGCAGCGAACATGAATTTCTCACGTGATTTCAAATCTCATTTTAATTAAAACGGGCTGTAGAAAGAAACGCTGGCACTCGTGTAGATACACGCAGATGAGCACGCGTGTGTGCCGCGTGTATATCGAAGATACACGGTGATTAAGTTCAAGTGAAGCTGCACCGTTGCGCTGGTAATGAACTTGTCGCGCAGCAAATTATGCGCGTAACGATCAACAAGAGAATCGGTCCCCGTCGACGTGATTCGATTTAAATTTTACGATCGATCAAACGATGGGAAGAAAATTGCCGAGGACTGGGATTCGCTCTTCAACTCCGCCGAGTTGCCACCGAGTGCTCATTAAAATTTATCTACCGATTCGCGTCCGTTAATTGTATGAACGTGAACAGAACTCCGTTGCGAGCAGGACGATTCGTTTGTATCGACGAGGACACGTACCTTCTTTCATCGCATCGCAATTGTAAAATCGGGTATCGTTAAACCGAATCAAGTCGGCCCGAGCAATTTTCTGAATAATAATTTCAGTTAATCAAAAAAATATCACGTACGATTAGATAAGTACAGCAGCTTCCATCGCTGTTACGTTCGTAATGCATGAAAAAATTTTGCAGGGAATACAGTTATGCAAATAAGAAACAGGGACGGGGGTTAAACGCCGATCGGAAAAGCCGATTTAAATACAAATTAAACGGCAATCCCCTTATCGGTGATATCGGTATCCCCCTTGGATTTTCCGCGAGATTCCTAGCATGGAAATTCGATTTGCCACGATTAACTGCGCCCAAGGGATATAATGGATCCCGATACACAACGGCTATAATACTCTTTCACCCGTTTCCGGTTCGAATAAAAATGGAATCTCGTGGAAAAAAAAAGAGGAACGAACGTGCTTTTACTAGATTATTAATCTTATTCCATAGCATCGCGAGCATACGATGCGATAAGTGGCGCGTGAAGTGCAGATACGCGAATATATTTTTTAAGCGTGATTGATGATGGATCAAAGTGGATTCGTCAGAATAGCATTTCCCAACAAAATCCTTGTTACATTTTTCCACTACGCAATAAAAAAGCTATTGTTGTGTCTTATCGATTGACGTTTCAATTATTATTTGATTGTACGGTATTAATTGAATTCTGCAACACCGAGTCGCGAAGCACAAAGATTAGATTGATATTAAAGTTGCGACATAGTTGCGTTTATTAGCTAATATAACGTGTTTTATCAAACAAAATGGGCCCATACGTCAACCTCTGGATAACAGCCAACAGGATTCACAGTTTACTTCCTGTCAGCTCCTTCCGCTTCCAATGTAAACTTTGTCACCTCGTTACTTTCCCGTTCGCGTCTCTTCAAACGTTATAAAATGTACCTAGTGCCACTACGTACGCGCGTTTCTTTAAACATCTCCACGGTTCTTTGGGTTTATTACGATGTCAGAAAAAATTTCTTGAATTATTATTTTCCCCTGCTCGTTTTATGGCATACGGTCCTCGGATCAATTCGTACAATGCGGCACGTACGTGACTAGTCGACTATTGTAGTTCCGCGTCATTTACAGTCGAAATTACGTACAATCAGGACATGTTTAACTCGTGTGTCAGTAAGAGCGGGACCCGCGACGCATGAGGGTTTAGTTCCGTTAAACGAAATTAGTTTCACGGTTAAGCGTGTTTCCCCTTTGTGTACATTTCCACCGCACCACCGTGTCGACTAGGCAAAACGGTATAAAATAAAATGGTACGCCGGTATTATCTATGTAACGCGCAATGCACCCTAATTTTTTATTCACGCTGCACGATGAAACCTTGCTTATTGTTGGTAATTCCAGTTACAACGCGATTTCCTATTCTTTTGTCCGACCTCGTTTTTTGATGGGAAGGTTGCCCGGTAATTTTCAACGTTTCGCTTACAATGCGTCTTAAATAATAGATCGCGGCACGAGTTGCAGTCACACACGGTCTAACGCCTTGCATATATTCTATAAAGTTTCCCTGGGTAATGGTTTTAACAATTCATGACTAGTTTTGCTACGGTCAGATGAGATCTGCAGACCCTGTTTGTATAAATAATTTATCCATGATAAGCCAGCAATGGGAATATGTATGATCGACGTTAAGTGAACATTATGTCTATGGCAAACTGCCACTGGCAATCATGTGTTACGATGTTAGATATTGTCCAAGTTAGATCATTAAGCTATCGCGATTGATAGCCTGGCTACAATGTCGAAGCTTGATAACCGACGATTTAGTCCGAGGATTAAAGACTTTGAAAAATCAGATTTACACGTCAATTAACTGAGCAATCTTTTCAACGAAATTATACGTGAAACTAAACTTGATTTCTTAGTAAATTAAAAAGATAATTGAGAGATTCTACGCGAGTACATTCGGAAATGAGATTCCGAAG